ATATGAGAAGATGATTCAGCAAACAAGAACAGAACACCCACAGAGCAGGACAAAAAGCTTGAAATTTAAACAAATGATAATTTGTGAAAAATACAATAGGGTTAAGAAGATAAAGGACTCACAGAAAGTAGAAAGAAAAATATTTTTTAAATGGAGGTAAAAGAGAATCAATCCAGGAAGTCCAAAATCCAACTGATACGCATTCCAGTAAAAAAAAAGAACAGGAAAAGAAGATAAAGAAAAATTCAAAAGAATTTCCAGAACTGAAAGGTATGAATTACACTAAGTCCCTGGGACAATGAATTTTTTAAAAGACATACACCAGACATATCTCATGAAAATTCAGACACTAGGAATATACAGAATCCTAGAAACTTCTAAAGAGAAAAAAATGGGGGAATCACAATAAAAAGCATAGAGCTTCTAAACAGCAAAACAATGAAACTTGCATTCAAAATCCTAAGTGAAAATGGTTTTCAACCTAGACTCTATCCAAATCCATCCTTGATCTTATGAGATCAGAATCTCCTAGTAGATATGCAAAGTCTCAAAATTAGACCTCACACTCACCCTTTTCTAGGAAGCTACTGGAAGATACATGCCACCAAAAGCAGAGAGTAAACAACAAAGACAACCCAGATTCAGAAAATAAGGATCCAACACTAGAGATGGGTAAAAAGTCCCAGGATGATGGCAGGCCTAGTGTAAGAGATACATCAGTGAACAAGAGACAAAAATTCTTGCCCCCCAGAAGCTTATATTCTGGTATAACAGCAATTCTCAAAATGAGGACCATAGACTCATGAGGGTCCACTAAGACCCTATCAGGATCCAAGATGTCAAAATTATTTTCATGTTAATACTCAAATATGATTTACTTTTTCCACTGTTTTCACTTCTGCACTGATGTTGTAAAAGCAATAGTAGGCAAAACTGTGCCGTAACAGGAATTAAGGCAATGGCACCAAAATGTACTACTAGTCATTGCATTCTTCACTGCAACACAGTTGCAGTTTTAAAAAAAAACAGGCAGTTTCACTTAAGAATGTACTTGATAAAGCAGTAAAAATCATTAATTTTATTAAATTTCAACCCTTGAGCACCCATCTTTTTAATATTCTGTGTGATGAAATAGGAAATACATGAAACTGCTGATGCATTCTGAAGAATGATGGTTATCTTGAAAAAAAAGCATTTGTGCAACTCAATTGCAAGTTGAACTAGCTGTTTTTATCATGAAACAACACTTTTTATTTAAAGAACCAATTATGATTATTTAGACTTGGATATTTGGCAGACTTTTTATAAAAATGAAGGGAGTTTTTCCCTTCAAGGAAAACTGACATTATTTGTTGACAATGATAAAATTTGAGCTCTTAAGCAAAAATAAGAACTCTGAATAACTTGTACAGACCACAACACTGACAGCTTCCCAGTACTTAAAGATGTCTACAATGAGATCAGTGGTGATATTAACAAATACGAGTTTTTTAATTATATAATGAAGGATGTCAACACTTGGCAGATATGAGTAACTCAGTGAACCAGTATTTTCCAACAGGCCAATGCATGATGTTACAGAATCACGCATGGATAAAAAAATTCATTCATACTGTAAGACAGACCAATAGACTTTAATGTAACAGAGAATGAAAAGGTCATTGATATGGTTTCAAAGACCACATTGCAACCATTCTTTAAGAAACTACTACTTGTCAAGTTTTGGTATAGTATTAAAGAAGTAATTATCTGAAAAGGCTATTAAAATATACCTTTTCCAATACCACACCTGTGTGAATCCAGATTTTCTTTTCTTCAATCAAAACTCATTACCACAGACTGACTGCAGAGTTAGATGTAAGAATTCAACTGTCTTCTATTAAGTCAGACATTAGAGGGTTGCAAAAATAGAAGAAAATGCCATTTTTCTCACTGTTTTATTTTGGAAAATATGGTTATTTTTAACATCAAATATGTTATTTATGTTACCATGTAATGGTTTGTTATTTTTTAAGTGGAATAATAAGTAAATATTTCCAATTTTTCAGTTTTAATTGCTAATACAGCAATAGTTCTTAGATACAGCCCACATAGATCAAAGATCTTGGGGTATTCAATAATTTGTAAGAGTATAAAGGAATCCTAAAACTAAAAAGTTTGAGACCTGTTGCTCTAAGTTACCTACAGTCATTTCCATTCTCCATTCTCGACTAACTTACTAAATCCCTATGTAAGGCATACAGAAGTGATAAAAAAAGAAAAGAAAAGGACACACATCTAATTATGTATCTTGCTGGTGAACAAAAAAGAATGGGAGGTGGCTATAAATTTTTCTTTGTTTTAATTTCAAACAACATAATTCATCCATAATAAAGAGTGATAACATTTAACCCAGAAAAATTAATGAAGATACAAAATCCTTCTTTAAAGGAAACAAGTAAAAAAAGGTTGAAAAACCACTGTTACGAAACTATACAAATTTTTCCAACACATTTATATTTCAGAAAAATTACACCTAAGTACAATTAATCTCAATAAGAGAAAGCAAAAAGCCACCATATTTCTTTATAATAGTTAACTTCAAATATTTATTCAGAAAAGGAAGTGAATACTAAGAGCAAATAAGAGGTAGGTGAAAAATTTTCTCTAACAATGACATATTAAATTCCTACTCGCCACCCTAAATACATACTTACCTCTGGATCTCCATGTCTCTAGCATACAACTGAATATACATGACATGCTCTTTCAAGTCATGGTGGTCAATTCATATTATACACTCCTAATAAGAACTCTATATTTAATTTTATTAATTAAAAATAATAAGTATGTTTATTTATATTGGCAAGATGCAACCCATGGAAAGATATTTAATAGCTCTTTCTGGTAAAAGCAATGATGAAGTGAGCACAGATTTTTAGGAGTCCTACAAGCTAACAATTTTGCAATCTATCTGTGAGCAGAAAAGGTAACGAAAGGACAGAACTCCTACGGCTCTTGGATTTTCTGTTCTCACTCTAGTCTCTAGTACTTCCTGGTGTAGTCTCAAGGTTATAAACCAACCACTTCCACTATAGAATTGAAGCCATGACAGGTAAGACTACAATAGAAAAGCAGTTTACAAAAACATCTTATTGTAAAGGTTAGGTGACTGACTGAAGATGTGGAGCCAAGATGTCATTCAAAAAAGAGCTCAAAAGCATATACAAGTAGTTTCTTTGTCTGGTTATTAATAAAGGTACAAGAAGCAATAATCTTTTCAGAAAATGGGAAGTTAGAACAAAGATTTCTAGAGGACATAACAGTTTATAATTATTTCTTCACTACTCATTTCTTAGTATATTGAACTATAATCTTTTTGAGAGTGGACACATGGCTAAAAAAAAGGGAAAAAAGACAGTCATTTCAAAAAAGAAATTCACCTCAAAGAGATAGTAAAAATGGGGCTAATACCATTTAGCATAAGAAGAAATCCACAAGCAAGTATAGAACCATGCAAGGGAGGTAAAAGAACTGAGATAAAATTCTAGCTTAACAAGCATAACAAAACAAAACTCAAAAAATACAGAATTGTTGAAACACTCCTCCCATCACAACTAAAAATTTGCAGACTAGCACCTTTCTTTTTTAAAGCATCATCAGTCCTAGGAATTTCTCCCCAATGGTTTGAAAATGAAAGCAGAAAATATATCTATACACCTACTATAACAATCTTATTAAAGAAGCTTTCCAACTCATAACACAAATCTTTGCTGAGACCAGTCAAGTGGTAAGGCCAATTAATAGATGCCATCTGCCTTCACTGTTTTCAATTTCAAATATTTTTTGCCCTCTTATTGAAGGACATACAGTAACAAATGCTACCATTTAGCAGGAAATCTTTGCCTGAAAAGGAATGAGTTTTTATAGATGCTAAGGTGAGTAGGCTCTCAAAGAATACCCAGTTTGCCCACAAGATTGCACCTGTCACATCTGCTTTCAATCCTTAAACCTGACAACTCTGTATATCTCTTAGAGCTTTTTTACACTGAGTTCAAAGATGACAACTTTAACACTTTTTCCGTGACAAGGCAAGACATTTGAATTTAAATACCCAGTAATTAATTAGTTGAAATACAAACAGATTACTAATTCTGAAAATGGGAGACAAAAAAGTTAGGTCTCCAGTGTGCATATAAAGATACATAACTTCTGAAAGAGAAACTACGTTAAGTTTGACCTAAAATCAAAAGCAGGCAACATGTTTAATAGCGTATTATAACCTCTCACCACAGTAAACAGAGTTCAAGGGTAGCCTATGCAACTGGGCTATAACCATAAGGCCACACGGCCTGAAGGCTAGGAAACAGAAAGTGTTTAAGTATGTTTACATGTTTATTGAGGAAAGTCTACTTCACCCAGCACTCTCTCTCCTCTCAGTAGGCGACTGTGAGCCAGGAAAGGCAGGGCGGGGTTGGGGATGGGAGTGTGCAGACTGGAAAAGAAGGTGGCTCTAAAACCCACGTAGAGCGATACACCAGGTTGCAGCTTCCCTCCTGCTATAACCTACCTAGAGTTAGTGAGGGAGCACTGGCCACAAGTCCACATACTGCAAGATGAGCACAGAAACCCAAAGGCAGTGAACCAGGACCAGGGACCAGGGACCAGGGATGGGGTGGAGAGAAAAGGGTAGGGATTGAGAGGGGAAAGCAAGGAAGAGCTGGTTAACTCTTCGCCACCACCTCCGGACTGAGGGCCTAGCCTGAGGCCTGCGACCGCGCAACACCCCGCACTGCCCACCACCCAGTCACCCCAGCTTCGCCGGCCAAGGTGAGACGCCTCCAGGTGCGGGACACATGCGCACTGCGCCGCTCTGCACGCCTCGCGGCCATCGCCGCCATCCACCCAGAGCCACCTCCCAGACAGACAGCGCCAGGCCCCGCGCCGCTTCGCGACGGAGCAGGGCCTCGGAACTCCGCAGCCACAGGCGCCGCACCCTAGGCCCCGGCCACGGACATCACCTGGGTCCTGGCCTTCGGGCTCACACCTCGCGTTCACTCGCAAGGGCCCAAGACGTGGAAACGTTTCTTCAAGTCTGAGCGCCGCCGGCGTCCTCCAAACTTGCTTCAGTTTAAGCTCACCGCCTTCCTGGTTCCAGTGCCAGGCAGCGGCAGCCGAGCTTTCGAGTGCATCGATGGAGGCTGCCAGGAGTTAGGAGTGCCGAGAGAGTAGATTGTCACGCTGCCAATTTTTTGTTCGGTGTTTGTTTCGCGTGATTTTTCGATTATTTGATTTTCTTGTTACCAAAAAGCAATTAAGGTGAGGACTGAAAAGTGTTAACTGCCTCAGTTATCGTCGCTGTCGTCACACATAATCTGTAAACAAATCTGCATCGTTTGAAGTTAGGTTTCTAAGTCAACCACACATAGCGAAATTGATTATCTCATGCTGAGGAAGGTGGAAATTCGGCCAACAATAATAAATCATGAGAGTGTGTCTGTATAGAGTCGTGTGTTATTAAATTGTAGTTATTTACTTGCAAAAATACATTAAAAGTCGGTGTTTCTTCTACCCTGAAGGTGAAGGCGTTCACAGGTTGAATGCAAATTAGTTTCTCAGATAAAAGTTACTGGTTGGTAGAGGAATGGGAGAAGGCTGCCTCAGGCAGAGAAGGTTTCTACTGAAAGAGAAATTAAATGTATAGGGTTTTGTTGTTATTTAAACCAATAGAAATTAAAGCAACTCAGCATTTTCTGTATCTCATAATACATTAATCTGCCCTTACTTGAACATCATTTTTTCCTTATTTTCTGTAAGGGAGGAATGTTGAGTAAATAAATTGTTGGCCTTGGTTTGGGACGACTGTGAAGACCAAATCATTCACAATTGCTAAATACCCAACCTAAGGTTTTCCTCAGACTTCTGAAATAGTGAAAATCACCTCCACAAATATATTTCTCATATAGGACTGTTCCTTAACTAATCAGTTTTGAGGAACCGTTTTACAGCTTAACTGCAACACTACATGTGTATTTTAAATAATTCAAGAGTTGGGGGGACACCAGGAGTCCTAAATTTCATTGGAACCTATACATCTGTCTGTAGGCTGTCAACTGAACTTTACTGTCAATGTTTTGTTTTGTTTTGTTTTTACCAAAACTGTTTTATGAAATGTCCTGTCTCCAGAAAATATTTGCTATGTAGTGAAATAACATTAGAACTCTGTGAGCATTTATTAGTATATGACTTTAAAACCTCAGTTTAGTTTTTAACTAAACTTCCCTTAGGCCAGTGGGAATCTGTGATCAGACACTGCAGATTCCTCATAGCTCCAATTGATATCAACACCACTATTCTTAAATATATACAAAGAAGCAATATGCCAGGAAAATCTATGAGAAAATCTATTTCTTGTAAATTACACAATTGGGGCCACACTTTCCCTGATTACCCTTAAAGTGGTCATGTTTCCCTCGAGCTCAGCAGATGGAATTTGAGTTCAGACTTAAAAAGTTGTGTGCTTGAAAGGACAAAAAATTTAGCTGGTGGATCACCTGATAGTGGCTATTTTGGAGCTGTCTGTGACTATGTATTTAACACCTCAGTTTGAGAGCTCTTTGAGCACCACATCCATTTAGCTTATCTCATTATTGGTTATTCTGCTAAATAACCTTAAAAACGGATTTTCATAAAGGATTAAAGTTTTGTGGTTATTCCCATCTGATAATATCAGAATTAAAGTGGTTACAAATTGTAACCCAAGACTAAATGTAAACTCATATGTCTAAATTCATATGACTTTGGAAAGTGTATTTGAGTCTCTTTTGTAATGTAATAAAATAAAAGCAAGTACTAATATAATTCATTAATACCTAAAAACTATCGCTACTGGAAACGTAAAGATCCTAATTATTTTTCCCAAAAGTAGTAACAAATGAAATGTTTTAATTAGAACAGAAGATCAGAATTTAAGAGAAAAAAAAGGCCAAGTAATATTCTAGAAAGTATGATTTCCATCTTCACTAAATGTGAACATTTTAAACTGAGGAGTAGTATAGTATGACATAAAGTTATATATAGCCTCCATTTACATCTATCTTAGAAACACTAATATATTAAGTTATAATTGTGTTCTCTTTTTACAAATGTTTCAGGTTGCTTTGATGGAACTTCTCAAATGATCTGTTAACTCTGTATTGGTGCCTTAACCACTGAGTGGCATACAATGCAAAGTTCTGTAATTTCTTTTCTTTTACTGACCTAAGAAAATGAACAAATTACTTTTAACACCAGAAAGCCTGCATTAATATTCAAGCTACTTCACAATGTCCCGAAAGCCACACTGAAGAGGTATATTTGTTTACACACTCAGGTAAATATAACTTTCCACATGTAAATATTCTTATGTGAAATATATATATATAGCCACACTTTGCACAGCAAGCTTTGTCCTGCACAATACATATAAATGACCCAGAATATAGATATTCTTTCCATATAACACTGTTTCGATGAAAATAGTCTAGGAATAGAATTTTAAATTGTAGCACTGAGACAGAGCCTTTCTTCCGACAGTGAGCATCTGTTTTTGAATAGTCCACGATAGATAAGATGGGGCACAAACTTCACGTAAATTCCTTCTCCAACTCAGAAAGGAATAACCACCTGCTTTTCAAAATTAAGAAATGAATAAGAATGTTTCCCAGGATTCTAGAGAAGCGCTCCTAATTCTTTGCGAAGTGGGGGAGTCGGGTGCAGGTAGTTGTGAGGGAGTTAGGGGTTGAGGATCATGAAACCTCAAGGAGAGAACGAAGTCTAACTTAACTGTCCTTGACCAGGAGCTTAAGGAAACACTTTAAAGTGGTATCTGTCAGAGACAGCAGCTCGGAAAATGTGTTAAACCGACTGGCCTCTTCGGGCAGGGTTTGTCGGTTGAAGGTGGGCTTTGGGTTCTAGGATGCGAGTAAATCAGAAACTCTCCAAGGCGGGAAGCTTAATGAAGACCCAGGCTCAGTTCTGGCTGCGGGCCAGGAAGCCCCTAAAAGGAGCTGCCTGGGTCTGAGAAGCTGTAGAGGAAACCTACGCTTCTGGGTAGGGTTGTGAAGCTGGGATGCCGGGCTGCGACGGGGTCTGAACAGCCGGTTTAGTAGGATTGGGATACGGGGTCAGAATACGCAACTGGAGTGCGGGCGCCTAACGCAGGGCAGAGGATACAGGAGAGCAATGCGCGGCGGAGCAGTAGAGCTGCTCCCTGACCCCTGGCCAGAATGTAGAGTCTGATGCAGAGTCGGGATACTGTGCAGACTCCCAGAGCCGCGCACTTGTCAGTTTCCTCCTGGCCACGCCCCGGCGGAATAAGTCCAGCTCCCCAGTGTTTAACTAAGTCGCGATACCAACGCAAAAACCACGCCTAATTAAATTAATTAGCGGTTCTTGTCAATCCTGGATTAATAGCCAAGAGCGCAGGAGGCCGAGGCTATCCGAAAACCCGAGCGGTCTGGGACCTGCCTCTTCCTTCGGCCCCTGTTCCCCTGGGCTGCCCTCCCTCTCCAGCCCCGGCCCGCCCGGGCTCCGGCTTCCGTCTCCCTCTCTCTCTCTCCCTCTCCCTCCCTGCCTCTTCCCCTCTCTCCTTCTCTCCTGCTCCTTCCCCCCCACCCCCAGGTAGTGGCGCGGGTGCTCCCCGGGAAGGGGCTCCCTCCGAGTTGAGAAGGGGAGGTAATTTACTCAGAACAAGGGGCCGCCTTTGCGAAGTATAAATAGTGAGACTTGAAGCGCAGCGTTGCGATCAGATGTGAACTCTCCGCAGGAAGAATTGTCAAAGATCTTAACACTGAGCCAGCGCGCTCCGGCCGGGAAGCCTCGGCTCCCCTTTCCCTCCGGCGGCCCCCGCCCCGTCCCTCTTCCTCCTCCTCTTCCTCCTCCTCTTCCTCCTCCTCCTCTTCTTACTTCTTTTTCTCCTTTTACTTCTCTTTCTTCTTTCTTCTCTTTTCTTCTTCTTCCTCCTCCGCCCTTTCCTCCCCCACCCCCTGCCCCATTGATGTGTTATTATTGGGGGGGCTGGAGCAGTAAAAAAAGAAGAAGGAAAAAAAGAGCGGGTCTCGGCTGGGAGAGCCTGGGCGCAGGGCTGACCGGCGTCGGCGGCGATGGAAGAACTTACGGCGTTCGTCTCCAAGTCTTTTGACCAGAAAGTGAAGGAGAAGAAGGAGGCGATCACGTACCGGGAGGTACTAGAGAGCGGACCGCTGCGCGGGGCCAAGGAGCCGACTGGCTGCGCCGAGCCCGGCCGGGACGACCGCAGCAGCCCGGCAGTCCGGGCGGCCGGCGGAGGCGGCGGTGGAGGAGGCGGAGGCGGAGGCGGAGGAGGTGCAGGAGGAGGAGCAGGCGGAGGAGCTGGAGGAGGGCGCTCTCCTGTCCGGGAGCTGGACATGGGCGCCGCAGAGAGAAGCAGGGAGCCGGGCAGCCCGCGGCTCACCGAGGGTAACGGCCTGACCCCCGGCCGCGGTTCCCCTTCCCGCCTTCCTGACTCTTCTTTGGCGGGAGAGGACTCTTAGGCCCAGAGGGCAGAGGGGCGGGATGCAGAGAGGTCCCCTGTACCCCAGCTTTGGAAGCTAGAGTGATGATGGAAGGGTGGGAGTCCGGTGGTGTGCACGGTCGTGGGTGGGGTCCGAGTGTGTGTGCGGGAAGGGGGGGTGTGGGTTTTGCGCCCGATCTTCTCAGACGCCCCCGCTATTCCCATTTCACTGAAACGCATTTTCACCAGCCGGAGGATGGGCCCGCAGCCCAGATGGCCCGCAGGAGGAGGGCAAGTTCGCCGGGCTCGGCTGCGGGCGGGGGTGACGGGAGCAGCTGGGGCAGGCGGCGGCCTTACGGTTAGCATTCTAGCGCAGTTTGCGGGAGCCCCTTTCCTAGGCCTGAGAAAGAGGAAAGAGAGAAAAGAGAAGACTGAAATTGATTCGGATTTCACCCTCCAATCTCCCCCAGGTTTCGAGCTGCCGCTAAAATTCACTGGAACCCCGTGAAGACCCTGGATCATTGATCTTGGGGGCTAAAACTTCCCATTCTCTTTGAGCTATGAAGGTAGAATGAGGTCAAGACCGGCCACGGTTCAGGCTAGGCTGTTACTCTCGGGAGACGCGTTGGGCTCCTTTTTTTGGTTGTTTTTTCGATATTTACACAATTCTTTTACTGCCTCGAGTCTTTGGGGGGGCGTGGGGGGGGATAATCCTCTGGTGCCAGCAAAGTCTTAGGAAACGGCTTTATCTAAATGGTGGAGCGTCCTTTACCAATTCAAAGGAGTTCAACAATAAAATTAATTTGGCACTTGGTGCCTGCAGTAACTGGTGTGCTGCCATATTTTTCCAATTACGAAAATATGTGGCATGCGTAGAATCACATATTTAAGCAAGTAATTAAGTTGTTTATAACACGGTCTGTTCCTGTTTAAGCCAATAAGTGGAAATTGGGGGACGAAATAAGAGATTATATTAAGTCTATTAATCAACTGGAAATGTGGACATTTTTCTCTTTGAAACTCCAAAGTTTGAGAGGGATCCACTGTGGGTGACATGAAATAGACGAAGCCTTCTTACCCCTTTGGCAGAATCTGAAGGGTGTGTTTGCATATTTAAATTTCATTACAGTATCAGTGGAAATATTTTCTTGTTAACTTGCTCTGAATGTTTACTATCACGTTATCCACGTCCCTCCCAGAAGAAGACAAATGTCCACAAAACGAACTCTTAGAACTAGAAATGACAGCAACTCTTAAGATCACCGTAGCTAGAATGCCAGACTGGGCTGAGATCTTGAGGCTCTTGTCCCCCCAGACCTGGCATCAGGGTCCTCCTAAATTTGGAAAGTGATGGCATAACTGTCAGGTGGCCCTGTGAAGCCTCCCGGGATGAGTCTGCAGCTCCAGGCCCTGTATAACACCAGCGCGCCTGACTGCGAAACTAGGGTCTGAGCCCAGGCAGTCTCAGTCCTGGGATTGTTAATTTCCAAGCTCAGGACAAGTATTAATTTCTCTGCAGGCTGGCTCTTTCGGAAATTATTTTTAACACCCAGGCTGATCAGGATCCTGGGCTGGGAAGAACTGCAAACAGCTCAGACTACCCAAACTCAGCTTTGGCATCTTAGAAACCCAAGTCTCCGACTCACCGGCAGAAGATGAAGGTTCTAGAGGGCAGCTTCAGTTCATACGGGCTCCCCTCATCACTGCCCTTTGGCCTAAATACATACATCCATATCCCTCGGGTGTCTCTGTATGCTTACAGTCGAAGAGATCCTGTTTCTAAAGGAACCAAAGGAGGGACAGCAAAGTAGCAACGGATGTGTGCAAACCCAGAGAAGGAAAATGCACACTTTATTAAACATCCGAGCTGCTGGATGCATGAAAAGGCTTTGAGCAACCAATAGAAACTGAGGATTGCGAATGTTCCGCTTGAACCTGTTGATCTCTATGGGTTTAAGCGTTTAGGGTCGGGTCTGCCTTTCCAATGGGGAAGGAGAAAGAGAACAGAGGCAGCGGTCTGTTTTGCCGACCACCCGAGGCTGGTTTTTCCGCCTCGGCTTCTGGCCCGGCGTGAGCGGCGAGCTCTCCAGGCCGCCAACATGGCGTGGGCTCCTCTGTTCAGGCGACCCAGGTCCAGCAGGGGGACAGGGACTGTCTGGCTGGGCCGTCCACAGGGTTTGGCCCGAGCCGTGGGTCAGCACCGTGCGACTGGCGATGCGGCTCCAAGAGTCGCGCAGAATCGGGGTCTTGTTCTCCCTCTGCGACCCTTGGGCCCAATTGTTCCAAATTAGACTCGCAAGTTTGAGACAGAGAGAGGGAGAGCCATCGGCTACTGGAGCCGGCCTTAGAATGGCCCAGCACCCTGGGAATGGCCGGTATGAGAAGCCAGTGCGCGGCGTCGCCGCGCCCTTCTACACGGACCGAGTTCTGTGACGGGCCCAGTGCGTCGCTTTTTCATTTCTGTGCGTGCGTGGAAGAGAGTGAGTGCGAGAAGGGTGAGTGGGATAGATTTGGTGTTCGCGGGGGTGGGAAGGAGACGAGGGCGTGGATAGTGAGGAGGCGAGCTGAGGCCACAGTTGCAGAGGAGATGGGTGGGTGAATGCCCACCTTGCCCGCGGGCAGCCGCCCAAAGTTGATTTTTGCATGTGTCCAGGATCCCTTCCTCCGCGCGGGGTGAGGGCCTGGACAGGAACTCCAGGAGGGGGCAGGATCCTCCACCCTTACTGACACAAACCTGGTAATGGGATTTGCTGTGTTGTTTTTGTCCGTGTGTGTGTGTGTGTGTGTGTGTGTGTGCTGTGCGCGTACGTGGACGTGGACGTACGTGTGGCCCTGTTCGTGGTGCCCCTTCAGTGTCCCCGGAGCTGAAGGAGCGAAAAGAGGATGCTAAAGGGATGGAGGACGAAGGCCAGACCAAAATCAAGCAGAGGCGAAGTCGGACCAATTTCACCCTGGAACAACTCAATGAGCTCGAGCGGCTTTTTGACGAGACCCACTATCCGGACGCCTTTATGCGCGAGGAACTGAGCCAGCGGCTGGGGCTGTCCGAGGCTCGAGTGCAGGTACCCGGCTAAAAGGACATCAAGGCTGGGTCCCCTGGAGCGGAGGAGGGACACACTGAGGGTTGGAGAGGCGGCTTGGGGGGACACACACTGAGGATTGGGGCTCAAGTGTCTGGAGGTGAGAAGGGAAGGGATGTCTTTACTGGAGGTCTTATTTTCCAAAGTACATCTTAGTCTTGTAGCATTTTTCTCCCCTCTCCCAACATATGTTCCCAGCAGAAGAAAGCTGTGCTGGGCTTGCTCCCAGAGTTTCTATAAACCACACCCCCCTTGCCTCACGATGCCTTTAATGTGGTTTAATCCTAATGGGCCTACTTTTATAAGCCTTAAAAAAAATCTCACAGAAAACGTTTTATCTTCTGGATGCCTTAAAAGTTACAAGGAATATTTTGTTCGCCTGAGTTGGTTTTCCGTGAGGGTCTGCTCTCGGATCTAGGTTTGCCGAGCGGATATGCCAATTAGGTTTATAGATGTACAGACTATAAAGAAAATTAGTCCTATTAAGGGGAGAAATTTACAGTTTGCCATTAGAGGCTGATATTAAACTGTGTGTTAAAGAGTGGAGAAATAAATGCATTTTGGTCACTCTTTGTTCCCTCTTTTAACCTGAACCTACAGGCAGCAAACCTGAACGTACAGAAATTTGTTTTTAAAACAACTCACATATCTTAGTTATTGGCATTTCCAAAGTCTGACCCCCAGCAAGTGCCATATCCGATGAAATTAGAATTGGAGCAGATTTTCTTTCCTGATTGTGGTGATAAATACAATAGCAGTAGTAGGCTTCAGGGGCATTTAAGGTGAAAAATTATATGCATACATATCCTTCTAGTTTTATGCAGAGCAAATATAAATGTTTCAGATTTCCACTCAAATAATAAAATAGTAGAAAATGATGGTCATTATTTGTTTGAACACATGGAGCAGTTTTAAGCCTGAACATCTGCAGCTGTTACAAAGTATCACTGTAACAGATACTCCCGGGGTCTCTGGGCACAGAGACCACCATCTGCAGCAAACTATGCAATTCTTATGGGGCTCTCCGCATCTTGTAATAGGATCAGGACAAAAACAGAGCAGTCACGTTGAAGCGGAAAAGTAATAATAGGCTGCCTTGGTCATCACAGTGTCAACAGCAGAGCCTTCCTTTTTAAATCTCTACTACTTTGCTGTGTGTACTGAGATCTCTAGGGGCTCAGGAGCCCCTTAAAGACATGGTGATAATTATTACAGTTATGAGCATTAGTATCTCAGTTCACTCTTCTAGGGGAAAAAAAGAGGCAAGAAGCCTCAGGCCATGTGAATTACACAAAGGATGCCACCCTGGCATGAAATCTACCCTTTTATTACACTAAATAGCAGGGGAATTTTTGAAGATTTGCATTGACTATGACACTTGCTTTCAAAAACAGAAACAGCTCTGAAATAATATTTTACTTTCATGTGTTTTTTATAAACGTTAATTTGTGAATCAGTCAGTATGCTGTGTTATTGAAACATAATGCTGTCTTATTGGAGTATAAAAGCAGCTTTATTTGAATTTTTAAAAACCTGTCATACAGCCTCTAAATGTTTCAAGTTTATTTAAGATGGTAACATCTAGGAAAGGATGGTACCAGGAGTTACTTGATTCATACCCCAACCCCTTTTCACAGAATGTTGTTCTTTTTTTTTCTCATAAGAAGTGAACTTCTTTGCTGGTCTTTATGTTTTAATACTTTTATTTAAATTTTAGAGCTGTTTTCTAGATGCTTCTCTACTACCCTGACTGTAAGCAGCGCTTTTTCAATGAAAGCAAATTAGATTATAATGATAATGGCACAATTATTCTGCTACTGTGTTACACCATGCTGCACAGAGGAACAGAGAAATTCTAAACTTCTTTGTAGTGAAGCTTTTATGACACTAATTACCTCTCGCTCACACCCCAGGAAAAAAAAAAAAACAGAGTCACTATTTGCCTTGGTGTTTGGTTTTTCTTGAAGATGAAGCTAATTAATATTACAGGCTATTAATGAGCACATTCTTCTTAAGTCTTACTAGGCAAACATCTAAACCCATTATCACTTTGGTATCAGGTATCAGGGAGAGTTTTAGGCCTTGGGGACTCTGTAATGTGGAAAGATGAAACCAGGACTAATAGCAATTTATCAAGAAACAATTTATCTTGCAAGTCTATGAAATGTATCTATTTTGTCAATCATTTACATTTTTAACTTTAGACTATTCTTCATAATTCAAAGATTGCTTACTCTATCTCCCAATTTTTCCTTCTTTTTTTGCCACTATTCTTTCTTCATTGTAATTTCTAAAAATTGTTTGAGTTATAACATTTAGGTGTAATTTTTTCCCTCCAATTTGTAGGTTTGGTTTCAAAATCGAAGAGCTAAATGTAGAAAACAAGAAAATCAACTCCATAAAGGTATGCTTCTCAGACAAAGAATATTTGATATTCTAAGTAGAAAGAGAATTAGTGACTATTGTTATTACAAAGAAAGAAACTTCTCAAAGATAACTATGTCTCTTATTTAAAAATCTGCTCTGAAGGCAGTTAATGAGAATTCTGAAGTTTGGAGGTAATTATATTTAATTTTGGAAGCAGTTTAGGAAGATAGTCCAATTCCAAAGGAATTATTTCTACTTTGGTATTATCTGGAACAATGGAAAACAATGCTGGGAATATTAAACTCACATTATTGTGTTTTGTTCCTCCATATTTTATAGGTGTCCTCATAGGGGCTGCTAGCCAGTTTGAAGCTTGTAGAGTTGCACCCTACGTCAATGTAGGTGCTTTAAGGATGCCATTTCAGCAGGCAAGTACAGCCCAGTTTTAACTTATTTAACGGTAAAAAGACCTGGATGCTTTAACATCCCCTCTTTCTGAGCCCCAATGTTGGTGTCTGTGCAGATGGAGAATCAATTTTGAGATGATATAGTGTATCTACTCCCCCTTAAAAGAAGCCTGTACAATGTCAGGGGCCTACACACCTAGTCCTTTCTGTCCTTGTGGGAAATCTGAAGAGGCCAGAGGGTAGCAACTGGTCCTTTAAAAATGCACTAAAGATTGCACTAGGAGAGAGGAAGGAAAAGCCTTTTGATTAAGATTTTGTCAGATCCAATACAGAGGCTGGTTTCTAAGGCTGCTCTCTAAATATTTTTCTAAGTATTTTCAATCTCTTAGTCACATTAAATGTCTCTGACAGAAGAAGAGTAAATAAATAAAAGTACTCCCAAGTCAAGACTTGATTTTTTAAAGCTGTCTCTGCAAACAAAGCCTCATTTCTAGTAGAGAGGGAAGCCTTGGTCTTCCTGGGGATGCCCTGCCTCTTTTTTAGCCACGAAGAAATCTTTAAGACTAGGTTTTAAAAGGACAGCCTGCAGCAATGATTTAATCTTGGGAAGTCCCTGTGCTCCAAACTCCCACTCTCCAAGCCTAAGGGCGCAATCTTTTCTCAACCAGTGCCTGACTTTCCCCATCCTCAGCCTGAACCCCTGCTTGGTAGGACTGTGAAGTCATGAATTAGTTCTCAGTTGCCAGTGACCTGGGCTTGAGAGACACCTGGGTGCACCCATGTATTGATGGTTAGTGTTAGGGAGATGTTAGCTCTTGTGGCACCACAGGACTCCAGCATCCTGATGTTAGGCTTTTGAGGCAAGAGAGAATGACTGGAGAAAGACAGAGGGGGACCTTAAGGAGATCCTACTACTCAGAACGTGATCTCTGCAGGCCTGTAGCAAGCACCACCTGGACGGTTGTTACAAATGCAGAATCTCAAGCCCCGTTCTAAACCTTCTAAATTATAATCTGCATTTTAGAAGATTCCCAGATTATTCTTACAACAGTGAAGAAGTACTAACAAAGGTGCCAATTTTAATGAAGATACAATGGTCTCTCTAAGTGACGTTAAAAAGTTTTGTAGTTTGCTAGTTGATACCTCAGTACTTTAGCAGTGGTAAGAGGTGTATGAGGGCATCGAGAGAGGAGGGCAATGGTTCTTACCCCTAATCTTTCCAGTATACTATGGTTATTTTGAGGAGGAAATGTTTTACAAAAGTATTGTTGCCCCTGATGGACCCAGCTCCCCAGGGCGCCGCCACTTTCCCACAGATAGGGAGTCCCGGGGACCCGGGGATGAGCTGAGCGATTTGCAGAGTCTCGGGGGCACTGGAGAGTATCCCTGTGGCTCCCCATAATCAGTAACAAACTGAGGTCAGGCAAACACCCCATTCCCGTCACCTGCCCCAGCCTTCCCCTGAGTCAAGCTGGACGCCGTTAATGCTCTGTTTCTATTCTGTTGTCACCCTAGGATAGTCATTGCAACGTGACGCCCTTGTCCTTTCAGGTTCAGGCGCAGCTGCAGCTGGACAGCGCCGTGGCGCACGCGCACCACCACCTGCACCCGCACCTGGCCGCGCACGCGCCCTACATGATGTTCCCGGCGCCGCCCTTCGGACTGCCGCTAGCCACGCTAGCCGCGGACTCGGCCTCCGCCGCCTCGGTAGTGGCTGCCGCTGCTGCAGCCAAGACCACCAGCAAGAACTCCAGCATCGCCGATCTCAGACTGAAAGCCAAAAAGCACGCGGCAGCCCTGGGTCTGTGACGCCAACGTCAGCGCCAACATCGCGCCTTCGCGGCGCGCAGCCTGCGCACCCTGTACTCCCCGCTGCTTCTCCGTTATCCCCTCCGGACCTCCGGAGCCGACGCTCTTTCCGCTCCGCTGACCTCCCTTGCCCTCTTCCACATTCCGGACTCGGAGGGCGGGATCCGCGCGGAACTTGGGATCCCAAGAGGTGTACCCGCTGCGTGGCTCCTTACCACTCACCTATACAAGGGCCTAGAATTCAATGGCTTTGTTGGGGGTGTTGAGGTGGTTTGAGGGAAGTTTGTTGAGACTGGACAGGGAGTGTGGCTCAGAGTAAAGCTCCAACGATGAACTCTTGCGTAGAAACAAAAATCCTGTTAATAAAAAAATGACCAAAAAAAAAAAAAAGTAGAAAAGACAAGCCAGACAGAAAAAGAGAAAGGGAATGTATTATTGTTATTGGCGGAAGCTGAAATCGGAGAGAACCAAGGGACAAAAAAATTTAAAAGTTAAAGTATTTTATACACTTACAAATATGGAAAAATAACCTGGACGAATCTCAAAAGAATGGGGAGGAGGGAGTTACCAATTTCAAGTGTATGTTTTTTTTTTTTAGTGGGCTAAGAAGGCAAAACAGAAGAAAGAAGTATACTTATTTAAAGAATTAAGATGAAAAAAAGTGAACAGCTGGGAAGTTCACAGGTTTGAAACTGACCTTTTTCTGGGAAGTTCACTTTAATACGAGAATTTGATAAGAGAGGCGGGCCTCTTACGTTGAATCAGATGCTTTGAGTTAAAAACCACCATGTATGAAAGAGTAAGAAGAGGGAAGACAGTATAAAGACGAGGAAAGAAAAAAATTAATACACAAAAAAAGTAACCGCAGACAATGATTTCGCTGAGAAATTATGGCAGAACTGTCCAGACTGCTAACAGTAAATTTCGGTTTGCATGTTACTTGTATTCCATTGGTGGTGTCTCCCACTCCCCGCTTTACTCACATGCACTTATTCCATTTTCAAAAAGCGTCTGGTAATTGATATATACCTGTATATATATATATATATATATACACACACACATATATATATATATATACATATATTTTGCCCCGTCTTTGATTTGTCGGACAAAAAAAAATGTCGGAAGGGAAAGAACGTACACTTCGATTGTCCCAAGAAGATGGAGGTGGGCAGAAAATGTGGGGAAAAGAAGAAGAAAAGAAGAGCAAATGAGATAATGAAGGTACAGCGCCTCACACGGTGTCTGACACATAGTAGGATGTCAATCAATGTTATCCATCCCTCCTCCTTTTCTTGTATTCCCTCTTGCTGATTTCCGGAAGCCCTGTTTGAGGACCTTGCTTCATTTCTCATTTCCCCGTCTGTCCTGTCACACTCACCTTAAGCAACACCCAGCTAGATACAGGTACTCGGTCTGTGTAAAATATGTCGATACACACGAACAAAGTTTATTTTGGCTATAATGTGTGAACTGATAGTTGACTTTCAACATTTGCATTTTATCTCACAAAGGTGTATAGTCAAGTAATTTTCTTTTTGTCTCAATTTATGTAACTATTTAAACTGGGGTTCCTTGGACTAAGCAATCTGTATCCCAATTCTCTATAAAGCCTCCTTACTTTTTTTCCCCCTTTTGATTTACAAGAAAGAAGAAAAGCTCTTTTAACTGAACTTTGGTATGAGGTTGAGCTTTGTAACTATTTGTTCTCCATGAAAACAAAGTTATTTATATTTGCCATATTTTTTCTAGTGTATTAAGTTATTTTAAACAAAAGATGCTGTTATTTCATGACGTGTTGTCGGTGCAAAATGTTTCGGTTTCACCTCTGTTAAGCCTTTTAAATAAGTGCCAAGTTATTAATTGAAGACACTTTGCGATCAATTGAATGAAAATAGTATTGTTTCATTTGACGGGATTCGCGTCATCTTTGTTCCTGTTACTAGCAAACTCTCCGGAACAGTCTTTCCTTCTTCCTTTTTGATGAATGTGTATCTTTCTCCAATACACCAACTTGGAAAAGCGCTTGCCTCTGCTTCTACGTGCCGCAATCAAGGGGCGGTGAGAATGACGGCTCTGGCTCTCCATAGCGCTAAACGCAACTCCTCCTCTCCCCCGTTTTATCTACCCAGCATAGAAATTGATTTTAAACCAAATCAATAAAGGAACAGATAATAGGTAAAATAACATAGAATAACCCCCTTCTCCAAAAGGGACTCTCGTTCTTCATTTTGCCGCACTTTAATTCCTTAAGTTTATTTGGGGACATCTGGGAAAGGCAGGAAATCGGATTTCACGGTGCGAAATCTACCTTGTTTAATTGCGTCATAGTAGAAACTCGGCCCCAGTTCGCTGACCCTTCCCGGACTGGCGATGGTGGTTTGGAAATAGGGTAAGAGCCGCGGAGCGAGGCGGCGGCACTGGGGAGGGTACCTCCCCACTCAGGTTCAGTGCTTTGGCCGAAGGAGCTTCTTTGTTGGTTAAACATAGAAGCTAGGACAGTGTTTAGGAAAGGCAGGGTCTCAGCAGTTCTCAGAAAACCGAAGAGCCCCTCCTCCCTCCTCCTCACGCCCTTTTCTTCCAGGAGATATCCCACTAGTAAAGACCTGCGGCGCTGCCTATTGATAGGTAGAGATGAGGAAGATGCGGCCTTGGCCAGGCCCCAGAAAGAACCTTCTCTTCCCTTTTGGGCTCTTGGGATGGGGGCGTCCTCCTGGAAGATTGAGGGTGTCCTGGGGCCACCACTGGGCCGGAGGACGCGCAGAAGAACCCCCCGCTCTACACACACACCCTTGACCTTGTTCCCCAGAGGTGCTCATGCCGTCCCCACCCGGCCATGTCCGGGTTTAGCTCTCACTCAAAGCTCTTCCTCCGCGTAGATGCGGGTGGTTATATTTATCTTTTAGCTTTCGAAGACCACTGAACAGGACTTGCGCTGTACTCAGTGCACAGGCCGTGCGGGTCTTCTACATGGAAAGCGTCCCTAGCTTTCACACCAAACATCTGCCTGGGAACTGAGTGCGCTTTGAAGCGGCCGCCCCGCGCCGCCGGCCTCGGGCCGGGGCCGGGGTCCGAACCCTCAGGCTCCACGCCCCAGTCCTAATCCAGACCCTGACGTGGGGTTGGACCTTGCCCGGGCGCCCCAAGGGAGGTCGGAAGTCACGGGAGAGCTTAGACTGGGAGGTTGGAGGTTCCGTCCCAAGTCCAGCCGTGGGCGCCGCGGACGTGCAGGCCAGCTAGTCCGCACAGCAGAGTTCAGGGGGAATCCTGAGGTCAGAGGAGGCGGCGCGTCGGGGCCCAGCGGCCGAGGAGCCGGACACCAGGAAGGGGGCGCGGCGGCACGGCCTAGGTCGGCCCGCAACAGAAGCCGTGTGGCTGGGCGCGGAGCCTCGACGGGGTCGGACCCCAGCAAGAGAGCGGAAGGCGGAGGAGCCGGCGGAGGCAAGTCCAGGCAGAAAAGCCTAAGTTTCCGGGCTTGGGGGGACAGTGACTTGAGCCAGGCGCGGCAGTGGGACCCGCGAGACCTCGTCTCCTCCGGTGTCCGCTCTCCTGAGACTCAACCAGGGCCGAGGCCGCCGTTCTGGCCCGTCGGGGCCGCGTCCCTCGGGTCCAACTTTCCACAAATGCCTCTGCAGGTCCGGCTGTCCCTCAGCGCTACCGCCCTAACTCTCTGGCACTCTCTGGCAGGCACCTGGGCCTGTGAGCGAGAGGTTTCAAACCTTGAGTTTCCAAAGCCAACCTGAGAAGGAGTTCAATTCAAATAAAGACCAACATGCATGTCGGCTGGGTTGAAGTTCAATGATGATAATAAAGAATTAATAAACATTTTGCCTACCCCCAGATCTTTCAGGGTGTGCAAAGCCTTCCCGAGCTACAAAATCCCTGATTGGGGAAAACCAGTTGAAAGAGATTACTCAGGACATAATTGGTGTTAAAGATCCTGTGATACAAGAGGCCCAGTAAGATAAGACAGAGGCCTTTGCTTGAAGCTGAAATAATACCTATTTTGAGTTTCCCCCCAGATCTATAACTTTTAGATCTTCAGATGGTAATACTTTAGTATATGCAAAGCTCAAATTTCAGAATTATTTTGATTTCTGAAAAGTGCTTTTTGGCTTCAATGACATGGGAGCCTGTTATTTTTCCACAAATCAGTGTACATCATAAATTGCAAACATTTGTAATAAGAGCTCAAGATTGTTTATTTTTATGTAACCTCAAGCACTTGACTATGTTAAACAACAGTACAGCAAGTCTGTGAAATCAGCTTTATGTGTGTGAGGGAATTAAAGGATCATTCCTTTTCATCACATAAACAAAGCATTTAAGATTGTTTTGATTGTCAGTCTCCCAATTTTTAAAGTCTTACAATTGACAATTAATTTTAGAGTCATTCTGTGCAAAATAATTACTAAAGTTATATCCTGTTTTAATTAAATGTTTCTGGCCAGAAGAAAATGGTATTCTACATTGAGGAGTGGGTGATTGTTTTTAATGTCATATTACTTTAAATTATTTTAGTCCAAATGTAAATAAAGTGTGCTAATTCCAACGGGGATGGAAAGGCATGAAATGCTTTCTTAATGTGGTAGTCGAACAGTTAGTCAAAGTGCATTAAAGGAATGTCACAAACCCAGAAATAATAAATATGTCATTCTAATGAGAGTGTTAACTTATGGATAATTTATTCAAGGTAGTTTTTACATTTCACATGGAATCTCTTATTATAAACTGCCTGAGTACTGCAGTGCCTGTTCTTCAAAATCTAATTTATATAGGCTTGGGATATACATAATTCATAACTCCTGTTGATATATGTATACACACCCCAAGTTTTAAACCTTTACAATGTGTTTGAATGTTTACTAGCATGGTTGCAAGATGACTAAAATAAAAGCATAAAAGTGTTAAACATATTGAAAGCAAATGCTTGCTCTATGTATGAAGAAAAAGTAGTTGAAAAGTAAAAATTAAAAAGGATTTGATAATTTTCAAACTCAAATATAGAATGAACACTGAAATATTTCAGATAGGGAACATTATTATATAAGAAATATGAAAATTTCTAGGAAAGGCTTACAGATGTGAGCTTATAAGACTTCTTATGCCTAGGCAATCCTTTCATGTCTCTAATTCATAAAACAAAAAGTCCTCAAGTCTTGGGGCATTTTGTTTTGGGTATTTTATGTGTCAGTCAAGGTAACCATCGCATATGCCTTCAGTACAGGAAAATTTAGTATCGTACTTACATGGAATACTATTGGCATGAGGAAAGGTTTTAGAGCATAATCAAATAAATCACATGAGAAGGAGTAAACACACTTTATTCCCCCTTGTTGAACAACTGCTCACATGTCCTGAGCAAGGATCTTGGTAGATTCTTATTCAGGCAGAGTAGTGCAGAATAAGTTAAGGCACAGACTCTGGAGCCAGACTTTCTGGATTTAAAGCTCACTGCTGCCATTTACCAGTCCTGTGAT